GCGGCCCCCCCCCCCCCAGGTGGGACTTAGGCGTTAAGGTTTCCAGCCGGCCTTCGAGGGAAAGCAGCTGCTCGGCGGGAGGGAGTTCCGATCTGCTCTCTGCACCTTTCCACGTTTGCAGTCATTGGGTGTATCGATAATTTGGCTGCTTGCTTCTGTCAGGACCAGCCCTCCACCCCTTTGGTCAAAAGCCCCTCAGACCCCCAAATATTTTGGTGCATCAGCCGAATGCTTTGAGACACGCCCATAGGGAGAATATAGGCCACTCTTAACCAAAGTTGTACCTTCATTTATTCTGACGGCATCTGAGTTAATAGTTCCAACACGTGTTCCTCAAATTCTGTTTTCCCAGCCCAACAAGCCCCTAAAATCACGTATGACTTTAGCTACATGGCAGACTACGGTTATTTAATTAGCCCAGGAGAAACAAGTCCTTGCGATTGCGCGGATCCGTGCCGCTGCTCGTCCCCCCAGCAAAAACCAAGACCGGACCGGCTGCTCCACAGCAACCCTGCCTGCGAACCACGGGGCGGCTTCACAAATAGGGCTCATCCTTCGACAGCTCCCATTTCCGAGGGGGGAAGCCGGGGGTCTTCGCCACCGTTGCGACGGAAGAGTCCGGGCTGCGGGTCAGAAATGGGAGAGCTGCACGTTAGAATACCACATAGAGGATGCGCGACCGCCTTCCCCAAGCTGGGCTCCTCCGGAGGCCGTAAATTGGGATGTCCGCTCTCCCCAGTCAGGACAATGGGCACCTTTGCTGGGGATGATGGGAGTTGTGTTCCGAGGTTACCAGGCTGGGGAACGCTTTGGGGGTATGTGTGGAAGAAAGAGGTGTAAGTTTTAACTGATTCATGGGCATGTTCACAATCAGAAGTCTGGTGGCACCTTTTCATGAAAGCTTCTGCCCTGACATAAAATTTGTGAGTTGGAAAAGGTGCTACCAGACGTCTTCTGATTTTTGGATCTGGTAGACTAACGTGGCTGCCGCCGCCTCCTCAGGAGTCTGAAAAAAGTTAAGTTGCCAATTTCTCTGTAGCACATAAAAATGGCTTTTCAAGTCAGGCCTGCTTGATCAAGTGCTCAGAGGGCATATAAAGCATATGCAAGGTGGCCATCTTAAAAAGAGGCTGGGCAATTCAATCTCTAATTTTGGAAGCCTCCCATTCACTCCCCCTCACCGCCCCCACCCCCCAGTAGCCCATTAGGGCAAGAGGAAGGCATTCAAGAGGTGTCTCCCTGCTTTCAGTGGACAAAGCCTTGCCTGGGGGAGAGGAAGCAAAATATTTTCCACCCAAACTGTTTGAATGCCTCCTCGTGAGAAGAGGAACCTCAAAGCCTCTGGGAATCAAGCCTCACTTGGAGATTTGTTTAGTTCAGAAGCGTGGGGGAAATAAGAAAAACGACTTTAAACGTCAACAAGCACGTTTCTATGCAATAGGCCTCAGCTCTTAAAACTCCTCTTGAAAGTGCTAAAATATCCACAACTTGGGCAGTTCAGCCAGCCAGGTCATTGTTCAGAAGCCGGAAACAACAACAAATCGTTGGCTGTTTAGCTCAGCTCCACCTGACGCTTCCCACGGAAGGAACTTTCCAGACGGAGGGCTCTTTTGCAAAAGAGGTTGAGCTCATGAGCCCATCAGATCTCAGCAGGTATCGCTGAAGGGACCATACCTTCCAGCTTCCACGCCGGGGGCCAGCTTTTTCTGGGCTGACACGAGGACAATGGGAGGAAATGCCTCTCGGCGCCCATCTCGCGTGCAATAGTAGTTGTCTGCAAACTTATGGGAGGGGCCGAGAGGGAGGCGGGGCGGAGGCTGCGTCCTGCAAATCGGGAGTGGGAAGAAGACGACACTGTAAGAGTCAAAATGGAACATTCACAGAAACAAGAACCTCTTGAAATAACACCCTGGCCTGCCCGGCTAGAAGAGGCCGCTCCACATCCTTGTTCTGTTCGGATAGCACTGCAGGGGTCCCAAAAGGGATCTCCTAGGAGCGGGGGCAGAAGGTGACTTGGACGGACTCGGGCCCTTCCCCACCTGAGCACAGCCAGCCACCTTCTGGGCCAGGGAACTCCCCCAACGCTATCGGGAGGTGCCAGCGATCAACACTGGGCCTTTCTCAGGCAAAACAGGCCTTTGCCCTTGAGCTGAGTGGAATGTGACTACAGGGGGCGCATCCAAAGCATACAGTGATTTTCCAGGTCTTTTAGGAGGTGTATTTCTATTAAAGCTGGCCCGGCCTCGATGGCCTTCCAGAAGGGCCTGAAGACCCGGCTTTGCCCTCTGGCCTGGGGTCAGAGAGTGGGGCGGAGCCCATAACGTGGCTGTTCTGTTCTTGAGTGGCTGTGCTCTCCCGGGGATTGTACTGTATGTCTTTGTTTAGTTGTTTTTAACATCTGTATTGTTTGTATGGCTGATTTATTTTTGATTTCTTTGGTACTGTTTATATATTAATTGTAAGCTGCCCACAGTCACGAATGTGAGATGGGCAGCTATATAAATGGAATAAATAAATACAGCACCATTTTATTAACAATGCACCCTTTCCTGCTGGCCTTATAAACCAGTGTCTAGAATTTCTTCCCCTTAGAGAGAGACATAACAATCTCATATGGAGCGCGCCCCCTTCCTGGAAGGGTTGATCAGAGAAGGGGAAGGACAATTACCACACACTGGACAAAAACTCTCTTAGCTTCCCATTTTGCCAAGGATCTGGGCAAAAGCTGCCAGAACTATAAATTGTTTAAATCACAAAGGACGTTCTTCAGCGGACCTGTAACCAATCCATGTGCTTAGCTGGACTGAAATGTCTCTGATTGGGAGCCACTCTCTTGTGGAGCCCTGAACTACGGCTGAAGACTAGAGCATTTTCAAACGTCATGCACAGAATTACCTCTTGGAGATCTCTGTGTAGCGCAGCTGCAGTTTAACTTGCAGATCTCGCTGTTGAGAGAGAGACAGAGCGACAGACAGACAGACAGAAGCCACTCATCTTAAGCACACCATCTGAGCCACTAAAGCATTTCTAGTAACAATTAAAAACCACGGAGTCTATTCAAGTGTGAGAATGAAGACAGGCATTAATATCTTGGGGTAAACCATGGTTAGGCCTGCTCCCCAGCCTGAACAAACTCCCCCAGGGGTTTCCAGATCAGTAAAACCCCCGAAATGGCCAGGGGCGGAAGGACCAAAATAGCACACGCGGGTGCCAGCCCTTTGATACAGGGTAGACGTAAAAGGCATAAAGCAGTTACTCTCAGGACGGGCACCTTCCTCCAAGCGTCCAATTTCCAGGTCTCAGCCAAGCATCCAGAAGCGTTTAATTACAGGAAACAGGGTTAAGCCAGACCTTCTACACCTGTGTTCCTCAACCTCGGCGACCGGAAGGATAAGATGTGGGTGAAC